GGGGAGGGCCTTCTCCAGGTGCCGTCAGCCAGACAATGTCTGGCAACTACCCGGGGGAGGGCCTTCTCTGTAGCGGCTCCGACCCTCTGGAATAAACTGCCCCCAGAGATCCGGACCCTACCCACTCTCATGGCCTTCCATAAGACTCTTAAGACCTGGCCATTCCGGCAGGCCCCGGGCTGGTGAACTCACGTTTGAGTTCCTGCCCCGATTAGACTAGGTGTATGTTGTGGTCTTTTTAACTATGTTTTTGTGTTTTTCAACTTCTATTTTAATTGTATTGTTGTAAGCCGCCCGGAGTCCTCCGAGATTGGGCAGCCTATAAATTTATTAAACATTCAAACATTAAACATACTATAACATGCATTTTCCCATTCTTGAGATTTATTCAATTTTTGCATCTAGCCTAGTTCTATACTTTAAATCAGTGGTAGTCAACCTGGTCCCTACCGCCCACTAGTGGGCGTTCTAGCTTTCATGGTGGGCGGTAGGGGTTTGCTGTAACTCTGCTTTATAAATTTTATAAAGTAAATTTACTTCCCTACTTTATAAATCACCATTACTGTGGAACTGGTGGGTGGTTAAATTATTTTTACTACTAACAGAGATACAAAAGTGGGCGGTAGGTATAAAAAGGTTGACTACCCCTGCTTTAAATAATTCTACAAAAATTTGTATGTGTATGTACCATATTTTTTGGAGTATAAGACGCACTCCACCCCTGCCCCCACACAAAAAAGTGGGTGGAAAAGTCTGACTTATACAGCAAATACTGTGGTGGGGGGAGGGGGGTTAGTGCAGCATTGATCAGCTGTTCAAGAATCCGCCATGCTGAACGGGTGGCAGCAGTGGCAAATGGGCCAGATGAATACCAGATGGATGCTGGGAGGCAGATTTCTTTTCTTGTTTTCCTCTCCAAAAGCTAGGTGTGTCTTAATAGTTCAAAAAATATGGTATATATAAAAAACCTGTTAACATATTTAAATTTATTTGGATCTTTATGTTGTTTCTACCTTTTTGTTAATTCAATTTCAAATTTCTTTTCTATGACAAAATTGGAAGGAAGACGACTAATAGAACAAAATAAAACAAAATACTATCATTTACCTTTATGCTCATATGACAAAGATCACAATGTGGCAAAATAATTTTCCGTAGTGTCTATAGACAGACATTATTTCTAATTATTTAAGTCCACCTATACTATTTGCAGGCATGTACATGAATATCACGATATGGACTAATCACCCTTATTTATTCCAATTAATTCACTTGTGTGCGTGTGCACAGAGGGTTGAAAGAATTTTTAATATTATATTGCAGTGTTTTAATTACCACTTAGATTTAGTGCAAATTCCAATTATTTTCTTCAAGACTGTAGACATTTCCTCCTATCTCCAAAAATTCCAAATTAGCTTGTTATACTTCCTAGATGTTGTATGATTTTCCCCAAGTGAAAAAAATAGCAAGCTGATAAAACTCTTTTTTCATCATATGTTTATTTACTTTATGCTCTTTACCTTGGGCTTATTTTTCATTAAACTGAATATTATTGATACATGTTTCTGAATTACAGCTTTTAGTATTTTCTTATTATAATTTTCTAATAACTAGTAACTAGAAGAAATATGTGAAGTTCATTCTCAAGGTAAGGGTCAGCCCATCTTAAGTATTAAAAAAAGGAATACTAAAAGATATTGCCCATTATGAAATGAAGATAGGAATCTGCCAACAGACCTTGGTGGCTCCCCATAGATTCCAAATAGCTTTCTATGATGAGGAATATCCCATTATTTCCTGGATGACTATCAAATTTTCAGGACATTTTCCCTATTTGGTGATAGGATAGCTTTTAGTTTGACAGAGATTCTGTGAATTGTATTTTGCTGTTCATTTGTTATGAACAACCTTGAGTCTTAGGCAATAAAAAGTATATCAGAAGTATAGAAGTATATCAACAGAAACCTCTAATGGGGTTATTCTCTATGAATTTTAACTTCCTTTTGATAGCTGTTATTAAAACTCATGATACAAAGAAGTTGTTTTCATCCATATGGAATCATCCAAAATGCACCTTGAGTTAGTGATCCAATGTTTTATTCTGCTTATCAAAGGAAAAAAGATTCTATGTACCAATCTTCTTAATCATGTGAAATTTCCTGTCCCTTTGCTTGCTGCCCCTTTTCTAATCCCAAAAGCCCACATGTTCCAAGTATCATCATAGTGGAGCAACACCGCTCTATTGATTATTATGTCTTTTTGCAATTTTTTCTACAATATCTCAATGTTTTACAATAAGTATTCTAGATCTGGTTAAACGTGTAATAAAAATTGTTTTATTTCCATTTCTACTTACCTCCAAAATCTTTGCTATTTGCACAGAAGCTGCCTACTAGTTTGTTTTCATTGAGCTACTAGTTGTGTTTCCAAGATTTCTTTCTTATTCATTACCAATGACCATGAAATTAGCCCTTTTGTGTACCAACATACATCACTTTAACAATGACTAATACTGAACCATATTTAGCCTGTCAATATCCTACTTTTCCAGTTTACACATATATTTTTGGTACTTTTGATTAACGTTTTTATTCTAATTGCCTTAGGTAATTATGATGTCAGAAAGGAGAGTTTTTATTGCTCTGTTCATTTGTAGGTCATGCAGAAAAATATTCAATACTTTATTACTTTTACCTAACTTAGGCTGTTTACATTTATAAAATCCAACTGTTGCTCCAATTCCTTCAAAACATGGTATCAAAAATGTTTTTCAGGGAAAATGAGGATTTTCAGGGAAATGAGGATTTTGCTGGAAATCTGAAAAATCGATTCAAAATTTGTATGTTTATCCTATCACACAAGTAGATAAATGCTTTTGTAATGTTCCATTCCACCCAAACTTTGGAATATTGCAGTACTAAATCACAGTAAGAAGACTTTTTAACATGAAAAAAACACATTTTATTGCACTTAATTTATAAGAAAATAAAATTTCTAAGTGAATCAAATCATAGACACAATCCCTTTAAAGGTTTTTCCTCCATCCTGTCAGGTTGTTACATATCTAAAATTAACAAATTGAAATCTGATTTCTTTAAAAGAAACAGACTATAAATAAACCAAAAAAGGAGGAAAAAAAAGATCAGCTAGGATACAGTGTTAAACCACTTTCACAGTTCAACTTGAGTTGTGGCTCTTGGAGAATGAGGCAAATCAATTTGACAATTGCATTCTTTTTTATATGACAACTTTAACAGAAAAACTGAAGCATTTTTGCTTTGTCAGTTACTCACCCAACTGTAACAGCTATTCTCAAATTCTGTAAAACACTACAACCGACCAGCAATTTTGTTTTCATTTTTGAAATATATTGTCAGTTTTGTGTCTGTTTATTCCATTCACCACAGCCCTCACAAAGAAACTTCCCCACAGAACAGGCTGCAAGAGCTTTGTTCTAAGGAATGTATTTAATTTTTGCCCAGAAAAAAAGAAGAATAAAATAAAAAAGAAAAAAGAAAATAAGCGTTGCACACACTCTCTTTACTTGCAAGCAAACTTCACTCTAAATTGTCTGAAACTTTTCCATTCACAGCCTCTTAGAGGCACAGTTGGCTCAAGTTTCAGTGGCAAAAAAGTCTCTTCTCTGTAACCAAACTAGAGCAAATTTGGAATTCAGTCTGGGACTAAAACGTCACAGCAGAAAAAAAATAAAAATATTTTTTTTTCCTTTCATTTAGCAGCATAAATAAGTTTGGCCACTGGGAATACAGTACAGGGCTGGGACAACAATCCCATAATTGAAGACCTACTTCTAGCACCAGCATCATATATTAAATCCATCTGAGAAATCTTCAAATCCAGGACAATTTGCCACCTCAGAGTAACTTATGCATTGAAGAACATAGATGGAAGCAAGAGTAAAAGAGATCAACGAAGACTAATACTGTGATTGACATTGGCAATGGTTGGCAAAAAAAAAGCTGTAAAACTGTACAAAACAATTCACAGTAAGTTTAGCTTTTCCACACATAAAGGACTCTGCTTTTCCAGATGCTGCCTTGTTTGAAAGACAATAACTGATAATGGAGATATGAATCTCCTTTCTAGAATAAGGTAGAGTAAAAGAACAGGATTAACAAGAATTGTAACAACTTCTACATCTCAACAAAGCTCAGTGATCATTGAGAGGAAAACAGAAAAGAAATAATTGCACCTGGCTTGATACAGAAAGTCACATTTTGCAAAGCTGGCCCTTTCCAAGGTGAAGTCTTTGATGTAAAGAGAAAAGCAAATGCCTCTTTTGTCAGTTACAGTTTTCAATTTTGTGTCTTCTCTTTTGTAGCCTGTAGGTCTTTAGGATCTGTTGCCCCAAGCCAACATCCTGCACCACCAAGGACAAGGGTTGTTTTTTTTTTCCTTTTTGTAGAGGGAGGGAGAAAGGACAAGAACATCATTTGCATTTCTGGACAAAATAATCTTTTCAAGCTTCACTTTATATCCACATCAAAGTCCAATACCAGCAGCTTGGTTTCCTCAGTCCCATTCCGACTTCCAACTGCACACACTAGCTTTGTGTTGGAGGCTCTGATCCGCCATACAACACCTCCACTTCCTCCACTTTCCAATGTAACTAGATTTCGGATAAATTCACCCGTTTTTAAGTCCCATAATTTTACAGTCCCATCATCTGAGCTGGTAATTACAAAGTTCTTGTTGAACTGTAAACAGGTCACAGCACTCTGATGCTTGTTGGGACCTAGAGCAAATAAAAATTCAAAATTAAGTTAGCAATTAATTTTGCACAGTCTACTAAACTAGCCCTTCTCTCCCCCAAGAGCAAATACTATTGTTTTTCTATAAAGAAAGAATTTTCCCTTGTTCGATAGTGTCTGACTCTAGGAGGCGGTCCCTATGTCTGTTTCTTAGCAGTCCCTATGTCCCTATGTCTGTTTCCCTTGTTCGATNTTTTTTCTTTTTATCTCTTCCTTTTCTTTCATCTATTCATCTATGTACCTACCTACTTTCCTACCAACTTATCAGTAATATACTAGAAGCTAAAGTTCAATGGTAGCCATAAATATTCACTTCACTGGCTTCCAGCTTTACATTCTTGCCATCCAGAGTCATTATGAGTGAGGTAGCATATAGTTTTAATAAATGATTATGGTTGATCATAGTCAGCCAGATAGATTTGTCAGTCCCAAGGACCTGGGATAACATATTTTAAAATAATTTTAAAGGTACTGTTTCAGAATATAAACTGTTCCAAAGTAAGTTGCCTTTTGCAGTTGACTGGTGGTAATTTTTCTGTGTGCCAGAAGTTTTAATTCTGTACTATTTACTAATTTCAAAATAGCAGTATCAATGAAAACTTATCCCAACATCTATACGAGGCAGAATATTTGTCTTGATGACATTTATCCAAAATTCAGACATCTTCCAGAGATAATATCTAGAAATATCCTAACATTTATAAATAATGCCATGTCTTTTTATTGCTTTTTGAATTAATTTTTATCTTTGTGGTTTAATTGGGTGATTTGGTTGTTTAATTTTTTTTATGAAATTTTATTTATATGTTGGAGGTTTGACTGTTGATCTTGTACCCCTACATAACTTTGTTTTGTAAGTCAATAAATTTTTCAAATTGATGTAGCTCCTTCACTTCATGGAACATTGGTGAATGGTTAGCTACAAGTACTGAAATGTATCCAAATTAGATGTTTTATTTAAGCAGGAATCTTGTGCTCAAGGAATATTGAATATATTGCAAATAGTTACTGCTTAAATTTGAATAATGCCTCTTCTCTTGTTCAGAAAAAAAGGCAGACCTAGGAGTGGTATAAAACCATTGATTTTTAGCATCTTCAAATTGACGTTGCTTAGGCATGATTTTATGCTAATTCAGGGCTCATACATGCAACTGGAATATAAACATTTTGGTTTCATTACTTATTAACACTGCTGCTCCAATAAAGCCAGCATTCTCAGATCAAACTTTTATGAAGTGAATTAAAAAAAAATATTTCCTATTGTGAATAATAATGCCTCTGCATGTAGAAACCTAACTGCTAAGATGAGGTTCAGTGTTTTAGCCCAATATGCTAATCATAATAGCCCAAATAATGCCTACTATATAATGTTCCAACTATAACAACATGTGCCTTTAGGGATTGTGCCTGGCAAGATCAGTGGCTCAGTAATTCTATGCAGTGAAAAGTGAACAATCAAGAATATTTGTATTCTGCATTAAATAAGACAGGTGATTTGTGCTTATTACTTGGTTTCTTATAGACTGATTGATCATGTCATATACTTGAAGTCTGATAAGCAGAAAATGTTAACTTCTAAAAGATTTGCAAAGAGCAGAATTGGAGTCAGTTTAGTTGCAGGGGTTGAAAGGACTTGTGCAAGCAGTTTCCAGGATTCAGCACTGACCAGAAGTTACCAAATAAATAAATAAATTAAAATTCTAGGCAGCAGAGAATAGTTAAAGGGTATTTGAAAATTATTTATTTATTTATTTATTTATTTATTTATTTATTTATTTTATTAAATATATTTATATGCCATCCAATCCCGAAGGACTCCGGGATTAACCTTTTGTCAATTAACCAAACCGTTTTAACAGATAATTATAAGGCCCTTTCCCTCAGACGGGGAAGTACCGGTAATGTGTTTTAAAATTCAAAATCTTAAATATATTTTCTGCAAACTTAATTTTCACTGAATTATTACCTTTGTTACAGTTGTGATTTTTCATGCTTTGAATGAATTGTGAAAATAAAAGGTTTCCGTATATTGCATCCAACTAATATAAGGATTTTTAGCATTGAAATACAACTTTACCTACACATGTAGTCAGAAAAGCAGTACATTGAATAAAAGACTCTGAAATTTAAGATTTTCTCAAATTAAATCCATCTTGGAACTTTTAGTGTAGCAGTTTGCAGCACAGGATAGCTTGTGTGTATATTTATTCATCTAAACAAAATAAATTAGTATTTATAGTTGATTTTTGGGAAATCTAATACTGTTGTGGAATATTGGCATCAGTGGTATAAGAAACATAATTTATTTTTACAAAGTGTTATTGAACATTTCTTGCTTTTTCAGATTCGAATTCTGTTATGATTTAACTGTTTATTGGGAATAAACTGTTTATTGGGAATTTGGAAAGCATAAAATTATAGTTTGGTAACTATTATAAGGCATACATTAAAGTATCTAATTGTATTAGGCTAAAGTGAGAATTATGTATAATTTTATATTATCAGGAAGGTAGGAATCAGAGTGAAATGACTGTACTCATAGTGTGGTTTGAATGAGAGAATGGTTGTAGTATATACGAGAGGGCCAGGAACGCAGCCTGATGCCCCCTCCGCTGAGTGCATAAGCAGAAGTGGTAGGGGGCCCAGGCTTACCCCTGGCCCTAGAATGACTGATAAGTGTGGCCTGCCGAGGAATACAGGGGCCATGGGAAGGAGAGGGGGGTCTACGGGGATGGGGATGGGTTGGAGCATCCCGGTCATGGTTGGGAAGGCAGGTATGATGGGGGCTACAGGGCTAGCCATTGCCGGGGAAGAAGGGCTTGCTACGTTACAGCGATCCCTTGTTCTGGCCCTGTAAGCTCAACTCCAGGACCTGGTGACAAGAGAAGCCTGGGCCCTGGCCTCAGGTTGCTGTTGCTAAATGCCAGGTCTGTGATTCATAAAGCTCCCCTCGTCCGGGACTTAATATTTGATGGGGGGGCAGACATGGCTTGTATTACTGAAACCTGGCTGGGACGTGAGGGAGGAGTCCCCCTCTCAGAAATGTGCCCAGAAAGGTTTTAGGTGCTCCATCAACCTCGACACCAGTCAAGAGGTGGGGGAGTGGCAGTTATTATCCGAAGATCGTTCCTTGCAGGATCCCTGCTCCAGAGACTGTGGGGTGTGAGTCTCTGCTCTTGAAGTTGGACCTAGGGGTTCAAGTGGGCTTGTTTTTGACGTACCTACCTCCCAGCTGCGTCNTTTGCAAGGGGGGAAAATGCTGTCACTTTAAATCGGAACTGAGCATGCCTGGCTGTGGAATTCTGGGAGTTGAAGTCCACAAGTCTAAAAAAATGTGAAACCCCTGTGTCAGTGCCTCACCGCTTGTCACTGCTTATACTAAAGACTTATATTATACTACCAAGAATAAATATATTGAGAATACTACTGCATCCAGATCTCTCAGGCTGACACAACAGGCAGAAACACATTTTACCAGCTGCAGCCTTACCCCTTCTTAGAAAAAATTCACTTTAAGGATGCAGTGCTCTTATGCTGAAAACATTCAAACATCCAAGCTTAAAATGAACAGACTTTTAAATGACAGTGATTTAAATTTGGTTATCTTAGAATTTAAAAAATTAACATTAAAGTTAATAGTTTTATTAATATTATAAATCACTGTAAACTAGTAGTCATAAATACAAACAAATGTTGTTCTATACAAGGACATTAGTAAAAAAAAATCACAATGCATATATGGATATGTAATCATTAAGTCAATTTTTTCCCCCAGAATTCTAGTACATTGCTGATTAATAGACTAATGTGCATTTGTATATATATAAAAACCTCAATATTCTTGGGATGCAAATGCAGACCTAACTTCAAATCAGAATTGGCTTTGACGAAGGGTCCTGCCACCCAACAGCAACAGGTCTAGACATTAGGTTTTTTCTAACTTAAGGACTCCTTATAATTAGTATAATGTGCAGCCCATTCTCCTATGCTAGAGAGGAAATGTATGAAAATTGAAACTAGGTCTACATTAAATATGACTGACTCAAATTATCTCAAACATCTCTACTGAAAGAGGTTTGCAGAAGTATTCATTGTTCCCAATTGATCATTCTTCCCAATTAATAAGAACAAATAAACTCCGATGTAGAGTACTTTCCTAAAGCATTTCTTTATTCTTTCTTAGAAGCATTTCCCTTCCAAGAACACAGAAGGTAAAGCATTAAACCATGCTAGAATTAACACTCTTCTGCGGAAAATATTAATAAATATTTGCTTAGATTACAGTTTTTTCAAGCCTCCCTTAAATAGGGATAGCCACTCAGATTGTTTTGAAATAACTTTTGTATAAACTAAGAACTTGCAAATTCCAAGAAATTAACAAGCATGTAGGAAAGCCACAATGATATAGATTTTATTTCTTTTTTTCCAAGAGGGCTTACAGCAATCTGGCAGAATCATATCCATGAGAGGTTGATATATTAATTTGAACCAATTGAGTAGATATTTTCATGCACAAATTTCATATGGATTATCTTAAATTACTAGGTAGGTAGGTGGGTAGGTAGATCTCTATAGAGATAGAACTAGAGATAGACAGGTTTTACTTGAAAATAGTTTTTAAATGTTTTGCTTGAATAATTCTAAAAGATTCATAATTTGCAACAAATTCAACATTTTGGCCAGTGACCTAATTTTAAAAACTAAGCTGTGGCTGGTACATATGGTAATTGTCCTTTGCCTTGGGCTGGAAAATATTCTGAATAGCCCTATTGTTTCTTTGGGCACTTTCTGGTACTAATTTTAGTTGTATATAACTGCTGGAAATATGAAAGGCAATTTAATTGAAATTTGAAAATGCACAGTATTTTAAATATAGTGGTTTTCAAATAGGTATTACCCAGACTGTAATAAATGAAATGGGTTAAATTCTAGTAATGCTGCATTTGGTTTGGTTTAGTAGCTTAAAAACCACCCTAAAGGTACTCTGAATTCTACTGAACAGTGCTAAATGAATTAGCTACATCATCTTCTGAGTAGGAGACACACAAATTATTGTAAATAAACACATATTTATTTAAGTGTTATTTAAATTAAATTAAATGCCACATTCTATCTATAACATTGCATTTTTTTTCTGTTTATGGACTACAATTATGTTAAAATCATTTAGGGTGGGGGGGATGGGACAGGGTAACAAGAACTGCTAATATACTGCCAGTGACAATAATGGACAATATCATATAAAAGAATAGTGCATATGTAGTGCAATATGTGGTGTTAAATCTCCACTTCAACATTACAGTGATCATGTAACACTGCTCAAAAAGTAGTTTAGAGTACTTGAACTCAAATTATGGGTTATGAACCTTATATCAGCCCCAGGTATTGGGTTTTGTTCTCCATCTTGCTCTGCTCTGTTATAAAGCAGAATACCACATTTCATATATTAATAGGAAACTCTGATTTAAAGTGGAAAGTGAAGTGAATTGGAAAGTATAGAAGATGAAATAGAACTATGCATTACAAACATCAGACTGAACTACAGGCAGCATGTTTTGCAAAGCAAGGAATATATTTTGGGTGAACTTTATTGAAAATGCAATAAATATATTTGATTTACCTTTCCTGTAACTGCTGACCAAACCTTTAATGTATTATCATCAGAACCACTGACTATCCGGTTACCACAGAACTGTAGACATGTAATTACATGATCATCATGACCTTTGAGCACCTAACAATATAAGAAAAAAACCACACATCTCAGACAAAACCAGAATTGATTTTACCATTAAAATAAAAATTGTAGTTTTTATTGTTTTTAATTAGGATATATTTCTGCTAATACAATGGAACATGTTTTTCATTTAGCTCTTGGCTGTTTAATCCAGTTTACCTATGTGAACAAGTAGCAATCAACTCATAGCAAGCTGTCATACTGCAATATATAACATGATTTATCTTTCCATGCTTCTTTCTAGTATCATTTTCCTACTATTAATTGTGACTCTATTTTCTATATCTATAGGCTGTTTCAAATGGGCAACATTACAAATCCAGCTTTGACTCTGTTGACTTTTTACTGACCTGATATATGGATTTCATTACTCACTGGATTGAGAAAGAAAAAAAAAAGGCAATCCCATTGTGAAATTGGACAAAAATGTTTGGCTCAAAAAAGCAGACTTCTCTATTCACTGGTGAAATAATTTATATCATACTTTTTCCATAAAAAAATTAAAAGGCATTCACAAGCTCTATGTAAATTTCCATGATAAGTCCAGTTCTTCTCCTAGACCTAGAGCAACTAATACATCTAAATATCCCAAAGATACTTTTTCAAGAAGCAACTGGACTTCCGTGTGTGTGTGTGTGTGTGTGTGTGTGTGTGTGTGTGTNGCCTGGCATGCGCGGTGTTGCCTGTTCCTCTTCCAAGTTTCTGGTGTGCATGAGCAGATCAGCTGGCCTTTGTGTGTGCGGCAGTGCCGGAAACTAGAAGAGCTGGTCTTCTGTTTTCCGGTGAGAGCATGCGCGCTGGCCAGCTCATCATCACACGTGCATGCGCGCAAGTAACCGTAATACTAGCTGCTTGACGCACATGCAGGAAATCGGAAGTTCATTTTTTGGTGCGCGCATGACCCCTGGACAGCTTCTCTTCTGGGTTGCAAGCCAGATGAGTGCGCACGCTCCCTTTTCAGCACTCAGTGTCAAAAAGGTTCATCATCACTGCAATAGGTGGAGGTGGGTTCTTTCTCCTAGTCCTCCAGCATGGAATGCCATCAGAGATCCAGGCCAAACTGCAGACCCAGGTTTGGAGACAACCAGTGCAGCTTGGGAAAGGGGGTATTTACTTACTAGATGTGATGCAAAAACTTTTTCCTCATATAATTATAATTTATTAAAATAATAATTTACTAATACTAATGTTATAATACTTACACTGGTTTTACATTTAACTACTTTCTTTGGTTAAAATTTGGAGATTTTGGTTTTAAAAAAGGCAAAAATAATTTATTGCTGATACATTTAACTTTAGATTTTTCTCTGTATTAGGATACTGGGATTATTTTAGACTGGTGAAATGTGGATCTGTCAATAGAGTGGACATATGAATGTGTATTTGAAGATAAGATTTTATTTGGAATATTGTGCATTGGAGTTTATCTTTTGTAAAGAGGTGGTTCCTCTTTGTCAAGTTAAGCTTGTTTTTTATATTTTGTTTATATTATGTATGTTGGGACAATTTCATGACTTTTAAATGGGTTAAGAGGTGAATTGTGGAATGTTCAGTTTTATATATGCTAATTAAGGTTAAAGCTTTGAATGGATATTTTTGTTGGTAACTGGATTGAAGATGTTACTTATCTGATTTGCTATTAAGAAATGGATAATGGGATGAAGAGTTTTACATTTGTTAGCAAGGAGGAGGTAAAGAGACTAGACAATTATTTATATTTGCCATAAAGCAGGAGTTGTTTTCTTAGGGGAAGGAATGGGTTTTTTTAATATTTATTTTTCTTGCAATTCTCTCCCCCCTCCCTCTAGCTTCTATTATCTTTAATTGTTTTATTCAAAGCTTTAATAAAATTATTTGGGGAAAAATACAGCACAGGTTTTGTTTTGGTCTTATTCTATAAGAAACCCACACCGGAATGAATACAATTAAAGGTACCAAAGGTACTTTCCTTGTAAATTTTATTATTTTAAAAAATCAGTTCCAGTAGTAGTAGTAGTAGTAGTAGTAGTAGTAGTAGTAGTAGTAGTAGTAGTAGTAGTAGTAGTAGTAGTAGTAGTAGATTTTATTTATGAGAGAAAATAGAAAAATTCAAAAAACTAAAATACATCTCAGATTATTTTTCTCACAGAATGCTTCAGTATAGATATAGTATAGTTCAGTTGTTTTAATTGAGAAGCCAACATTTTTTCAGTTTTTTTTCCTATTCCCAAAATCTGCTTAAAACTCTTGAATTAACATTCAATTTCAGAGTCATACAAATAAACAAGCATCAGGTTGGCAGACCTAAAACTACTATATAATTCTGTGGTAGGAATTCTTACATAAATATTTGCAGTTTCTTTAACCTTGCTTTCCAAATTACATAATAAGATTTTTCCTTCCATGAAGCATCTACCCTTATAAGATCTTTGAAAGCACCCAACAAAACCCTTGGGTTGTTTTGACTAATTGAAGAAAAATATCTCAAACATCAAAATCCACCTTGACAATTTAAGAGTGAAGCATTAAAATACCACCTTAAGCAAATTGAACATTTATTTCTAAACCATTTATAATGTATCTGGAGCATGATCAAATATTGTTACCAGAAACAGTGCAAAAAAACACAGTATGGATTCACATAAACAGTACCTTTGAACCAATCTTTTTAAAATTATATATAGTTCACAAATATGCAATATAGTCATGCATACATGTATATAGATTAGCACTAAAACAATTTTATGACTTAGTTACACAAGGCTGTGAAATCTTACCTTGTAACGTCTGTAAACACTGTCCTGTTTTGATATCCCAGATTTTGACGGTAGAATCTGCATTTCCAGACACAAGAATGTTGTCTTTGAGTTCCATTCCACTTGTTAATGACTGGTGACCTGTTAATGTGTGAATGCAATTTCCTGTTTCCACATCCCAAACTCGGATTGAAGTGTCAAGAGATCCACTCACCACATGGATACCATCAAACTATGAGAAAAGAAGTTTACATATATCAACATATTTATATTAAATTGTGATTATTCCTAGTTGCCTAATTATATTCACAGTTTTTTAATCTCTTCAGAATGTAAATTGATACAAATCTATGAATACATATTAAGAGAACATATGCTATCATAAATTTACCAAAATTATCCATTTTTTGTTAAGGATAAACTCTTTGCTTCAGGAAGCTACTTCCTACTCATTTGGAACAAGAAGTCAGTTTTTGACACGGAGTAACTTTTTATTTTAAAAATGGTTCGGAGCATATGTGCCTCTATAATTTATAGGAGAAGTGCAACCTGGAACAATCTTATCATAGTGAAAGTTAGTCTCATATATTTAAGTTTAATATGATTTAGACAAGATGCAAGATTTATTTTCTAATATCTACTAACAGACTGAAAACCATTTTTTAAAAACAAGCTTTATAAATGTGTAAGATACTTTGTTTGTAGAATAATAAATGTGTAAATCCAGCTTTTGGGAAGGACAAAAATCTTTTTAATTTGGTTTTAAAGTACATATTTAAATATTTATTTGCAAATGTATTTTTTAATGGTAAAGGAACCATCAAATTATTAAGCAATCTTCAAATTATTAGACATTCTTGAAAGGCTACAATTTCTTCATAGCTATATGTCATAGTTAAATTTAACATTTTATATTTTGATTGATTGAGTGGGTTGGATCCAGACTGTCAGATTTAAACTAAATCCACGCAAATTACTGGGATAGGCTAGTCATGACTAAATGTTTTGATGATTTTAGTCAGACTACTAAAAAGTATAACAAAATATCTAAGGATGTTTTCTCTGACAGAAAGAGGGAACATTTTAAGTAAAAGTACACCTTGTTAAAATTTCTCCATTGCAATTCTTTCAGGGTATGGAATGTTGACACTTTGACATAAATATAACTTATTGTCCATAAGAAATAGCAATAGCAATAGCAATAGCAATAGCAGTAGACTTATATACCGCTTCATAGGCCTTTCAGGCCTCTCTAAGCGGTTTACAGAGAGTCAGCATATTGCCCCCAACAATCTGGGTCCTCATTTTACCCACCTCGGAAGGATGGAAGGCTGAGTCAACCCTGAGCCGGTGAGATTTGAACCGCTGACCTGCTGATCTAGCAGTAGCCTGCAGTGCTGCATTTAACCACTGCGCCACCTTGGCTCTTGAATAGAATAACTGTTAAAACTCTAAAACATGTATCTCTAAACTCTAAATTCTAAATGTATAATGGAGAATTTTAAATTGTGTTGACCTTTATTTCAGCTAATCATTGTCAGTTTTAGTTAACTATAGTTGAGAATATAGTCTGTGTTTTATAATTAGTAACCCATATCGGCTAGCTTTTTTTTTTTTAAAAAAAAGAACAAGTGCTTCCAATTTGAATGGTTTTTGAAATCCAAATATAACAGGAATGAAAGAAAATACATGTTAATGTGGCCTGTACTGTAGTATGCCTTTCAGATATAGAATTACAGGTGAGCAAAATTCAAGTGTTTCACTATTGCATAAGACAGTTTATTTCTTTCCTCTCTGCAGGGTATCAATTTTGAGTAACTTGAAAAAAAGCATTTAAAAGTTATTGAGAAGAAATATAACCCCTTATTTTTAGTCTCCATTGCAAAAGGAGAGGAGTGAGACAAAACACCGAAAATTAACCATTTCAATAGTATGATGAACTAAGTTGGAAAATGGAAACTGTGCATTGCATGTAGACCTTGAGTGCCTAAACCTGACATATATGAATTAATGTACTGGATGAATGTGTATGACAGAATACCAGGTAGCTTGCCACCTTTTGGAATTGTCCTAATACTAATCTATTTCACATATTTTATTATTCTACAGGCCTTTTTTCTTAACTTTTAAAGTCACTTATAGTTGTCAAAAGCTATATGTGGCAATGAATATGTGATTCTAATTTGTATTATAAATGAAAAACATGTTTATTTTATTATCAAATCCTTTCAGACATACTAAGATTAAATGCTGCTTCAAACCCTGCAAGATACACTGTCATTACATAGTGGACTTTATATCTAATTTCTATCAGACAGAATCTAATAATTGTTACAGAATTTAACAGTTACTTGTGCCAGCAGCTGCACACTTCTTCATTTACTAATGATACACATGCAATTCTTTGTAAGCAATCTCTTATACTTTGCACTGTATAAATTGATCCATCTCTATGCGAAAGAATAACCAGATTCAAATCTAGCACTGAAATGTCAGTAACAAAAAGGAGGTAATAGTAAGTCTTCTTGTCCCTAGTACAACCCATTCCTGATATTGATGTGGGTAGCCTTAAGCAAGCAAACAAGATTTTATTCCCAAATACCTCAGCTATGTTCCATTAAGGGATTCAGTTTTCTTATAAATTACAGTACAGATTTGTACACGTTAATTAGCTCAATATAATAATGCCAATGTCATATCTAATAACTGTTTTGTTCTACATTTCACTACCCTGAAATCTCACTCCTTTCAAAATTTTGTTCCACAGATGGGTGTGCAAATATGTGAATATGTGTATGAAAGATTTCTGTTCACAGAAACAGAGCAGTTTCCAATTACAATACAAATACAATAGCAGAGTTGGAAGGGACCTTGGAGGTCTTCCAGTTTGCTCGGAGGTATCTAGTATTAGGTTATGGTCTACCTTATCAAATGCCTTACTGAAATCCAAGTAAACTATATCGACGGCATTCCTCTGGTTCACTAATTTTGTCACTTTGTCAAAGAACGCAATAAGATTAGTCTGGCATGATCTGTTTTTGACAAACCCATGTTGGCTTTTGGCTATTATTTTGTTTACTTCTAGGTGTTCGCTAATGCGTTGCTTGATTATCTTTTCCAGGATCTTTCCTGGTATTGAGGTCAGGCTGATAGGTCTATAGTTTCTGGATCTATTATTCTTTCCTTTTTTGAAGATGGGAACCACATCAGCTCTTTTCCAGTCCTCTGGCAGTTCCCTGTTGCTCCAGGATCTCTGAAAGATATTGTTCAGTGGTTCTGAGATCTCGTCTGCCAGTTCCTTCAGAACCCTGGAGTGTAATCCGTCGGGTCCTGGTGATTTGAACTCGTCTAGGGTAGACAAGTGCTCACTTACCATTTTCTTCCCTATTTCAATTTGTGTTCCTAATCTGATTTTTGTGGTGGTTTTTGATAGGTTGGACTGTTTTATCCCTTTGTGTAAAGACGGATGCAAAAAATGAGTTAAATAGTTCTGCTTTCTCCCTGTTGCTTGTCACCTTCTTGCCACTTTCTCCCAGCAATGGACCAATTGTTTCCTTAACTTTTTTCTTGTTTTTAACATGTTGAAAGAAGCTTTTTTTGTTATTTTTTACTTTTGTGGCAAGCCTTTCTTCATTGTGAGCCTTAGCTTTCCTTACTTCATCTATGATGAATATATATGAGAGATGTTCTGTTATTAAACTTGTTTTCAATGAACCTCAATCAGTGGTTATGTATAGCATGCCATGACACAAGTATAATTGTCAAAAAAAGAATGTGACTTCAAGAGCTATAAATCAGATTCACTAATCTCCACAATTCAATTGAAAAATAAAAAATATGAATCCTTGTTAAAATAATTTCATGTTTTTCTTTTTTTTGTAGCAAGTATAGTAGACGTGGATCCAATAAATGAAATATGCAATAATCTCCATTAAACTGGTTTAAAAATTCATCTTAATGTTTAAAACATTTCAATTTGATTAAATGAAGCAAGTTACCGTATTTTTCGGAAGACACACCTTTTTCCCTCAAAAAAGAGGCTGGAAATCTGGGTGCATTTTATACACTGAATACAGCATTTTTTGCCTCCTGAAGCCCCGCCCCTTCACTAAAATGGCTGTGCATAGCTTGTAAGAGGCTTTCAGAGAGCTCCTAGGGGCTGGGGAAGGCAGAAATGTCCCCCCGGAACACTCTACAAGCCTCCTAAGGGCTATTCATGCCCCTTTGGGGGGGGGGGGAAATGGGCCTGTTTTCGCGAAAAACAGACAATTTTTTGGAGGTTTGCAGAGTACAAAAACTTTTTTTTAAAAAATTGCCTCCTCAAAACCTTGGTGCATCTTATGCTCTGGTTATACTCTGAAAAATACGGTAATCAATGCAACTATATTTACACTTTCTATTTTAGAAGTAGTTATATGTTCAAGTATGTGCATGAAAAAGAAGAAAATTAAAATAAAACTGTTATAACTGGTATAATTCTTTGCAAAGCACTTTCTTTAAACACAAGTGCCACTATTTCATGTTTTTTATTAATTTATTTCTTGTAATAACAAAAATATCTGACACTCTAAGAAATGCTTTAAATGTAAATAGACATTTATTGTCATTAACAAGTACATCCTATAAGAATTATTCTTTTTTTTTTCAATTTAAGTATATTTAAAATTTAAGAGTCCATCTAAAATCAATTATTTTAAAATATATGCTTAAATTTAGCTATTTAAGCTAAATTTAAGAAACTCACTTCAAATATATGGATGTGTAGTCAGAACACATTCCAGATTATCTGGACTGAATTCTTATAAAAGTGCTTTGTGGCACTTTTACAAAAATTCTGAGCACTCTGGCTATGCTCTGTTTTTCAATGTCATAACACAAAAGATTAGATGAATAGGGAAAAGAAGAAAAAGAAAAATATAGAATGCATAGACCAAATGATTTGACCTCTTTAGTTGCCAGTAGTGTACTGGCTGCACAGCAAATATTAGGCACCAATTAATTACTCTTGTTGAATACTGACGGCACAGTACAAAACGCTTACCTGTAATGAATAGACTCTATTAGTATGCCCTTGCAAGGTGTGTAGACAGGTTTCAGTTTCTGGATCCCAAACTTTGACCATGAAATCATAAGCTCCACTAACAACCCTCCTGCCATCATATTGTACACATCGGACTGCAGCTACATGACCCATCAGAACATGTAAACACTGGCCTGTTTCTATGTCCCAAACTCTCAGGGTGGCATCTCGAGACCCACTGACAACTCTAGGAAGTGGAAAAATAAAAACAATGTGGCTGTTTTAGCAGTATTTAGTCCAGACTAAATCCAGAGTTGTATGTTTAAGCAGACACTTAAATCGACCCAACTTATAGATGATTAAAAAATATTTCACTGAACTATTACAATCAGATTTTTAGTCTGAAAAAGAAAATATATTTGCAATAAATTCTGGATTTCAGAAATAAATTGTCTTGATCAGGAGATATGGAATTTAGCAATGAATTAAAATATAAAGTTTGAGATTAAGACTCTTAAAATGTGTCCTCTAAACATCTTTATACAAGTAGTTCTTGATTTACAACCAAAAGTGAGCCCAAAATATCTGTTGCTAAGCAAGACAACTGTTAAGTTAGTTTTGCTTCATTTTAGGACTTTTCTTGGTAGGATGGTTAAGTGAATTACTGCAGTTGTTAAATTAGTAATATGGTTGTTAAGTGAATCTGGCTTCCCCACCAACTTTGCTTGTCAGAAGGCCACAAAAGATGATCAAAAGGCTCCTGGGACACTGCAATTGTCATAAATAAGAACCAGATGTCATGCATCCGAATTTTGATCAAGTGACCATGGGGATGCTGCAAAGGTCGTAAGTGTGAAAAATAGTCTCTTTTTCAGTATTGCTGAAACTTCAAATGATCACTAAACAAATGGTTGTAAGTTCTATTTAATATTACATTATTTTACTTGGAACACCTGATTACAAAATATTCATCTTGAACACAATTCCAAGTTTAAACTACTTCCATGTGTCACACCTTTTAATAATGAATTGAAAGTAGCTGCTTCTGTATATTGATCTGACTTATATTTTAAAATCTTGACTTAGAAACTATACAGTTAAAAAACCCAGCAGGAAGAGCCTTCATATTGAATAATTAAATGGAGCAGTATTCTATCACATCTTTTTGTATTCTTTTTTGCATTGTTTTTTTCCTCAGGAAACTTGATTTTTCTGAATTTGAACGTAAACTAAAGAATGCAATGTATAACGCATAATTATTTATATTTACAAGTTGTCTAATATTTTATATTAAATATAAAACTTCAACAAACTATCTACATAAAATATAATACTTAAATGTTGAAAGTATTAGCTAGACTCTTTTCAGTCGGGTTTCAGGCTTGGTTACAGCACGGAAACTGCTTTGGTCGCGCTGATCAATGATCTCTGGCGGGCCAGAGATAGGGGTCACCCCTCTATCTTTGTGCTTCTTGGCCTCTTAGCGGCCTTCGATCCCATCGACCATGGTATCTTTCTGCGACGGTTGCGAGAGGTGGGGGTGGGAGGCCCCGTTTTGCGGTGGTTCTCCTACCTCTCGGACAGGTCGCAGTCGGTGTTGTTCGGGGGGCAGAGATCGCCCCCAAGGCCCCTCAAGTATGGGGTGCCGCAGGGGTCGGTCCTGTCCCCCTCCTATTTAACATCTACATGAAGCCGCTGGGTGAGATCATACGCCNTGCTGGGGACAGAAATGTTCTCTATCAATTAATTCTCTGTCCCCACTGTTCAGTTTAAATGTTTATTCTGTGAATTTAATGCCACGTAACTCAGTCCCTTCCTTGGATGGGTGCAAACCATCTTTTTTGTACAGTTTTTCATTGGACCAGCTGCAGACATCATGACTAATAAAACCAAAGTCTTCCCTTTTATACCACTCCTTTAGCCACATATTAAACTCCGCTACATGCTGGCCATTCCCTTTTTGTTCCTTATATACTGGTAAAACCTCTGAAAAGATAAGCCTACAACCTATACTACTAAATTTATACCCCAAGCTCTGGAAAACATTCTGCACAGAAAGTACATCTTTTTGGTACACATCATTTGTGCCAAGATGTGTAATAGCATCAACGTCACAGTCCTTACTTGCATTCTTGACTATCTTAAGATGCCTCTTGTCTCTGCTGGCAGTAGCACCTGGCTGACACCTGACCTCTTTCAAAACCTCCATATCCTTTCCTAAATATATATCCCTTACGATTGAATCACCAATCAGAAGGTGACTTCTCTTTTTGGATACCTAGCTTTTCTTGTGCAACATCACCTGTAATACCTGGTCACACTTTCGAAATAAGTTCTTCATTTTGGTCCATGATCCCCTGCCAGATCCCACAGTTGTCGAAACTTCTCTTCTCCTGCGGGATCTTTGTGGTAGAGAGGGCTGATAGCGCAGCATATCCATAGAGTGGAATGGCCAAATTGGGCACCTAATTTCTGCTTGGAGAGCACAGATGAGAGATTCTAGATAGGTAATCTGTCTATGTAGTCTAGTAATTTGTTTACAAAAGGGACAGTCTCCAAATTTGAAAAGAATACTGCGAAAGACAGCTGCAAAACAACTATTACATTTAACTAAGCCAGTCATTTTGAAATCAAATAAAATCACAATTTCAAGCACACTAACCCAGAATGTATTGTTGCTATTTTTGGTTTATAGTTATATGATTCGCGTACCATTAGGAGGCACTTTTATTCTACCTTAGTCCTCTGTATCTCCCTGATTCCTCCCTTGCAGCCAGCAGCTCCTCCCACCAGCCTCAGGAAAGTTCAAATGAAATGGAGGCAATTTTATTCTACCTTAGTCCTCTGCATCTCTCCGACTCCCCCTGATTCCTACAAAGGGCATCCAAAGTCTCTAGAAGGCTTAGAAGCCCTTGAAGAAAATAATCTTCTGCAGCAACTTGTATTCCCTGGCAGTGAGTGTTATTGAAACTGGAACCTTCATTTTGTTCAGGTTAAGGTAACTTTCTAATTAAAAGGATGCAATAAATTCTAGAATTTTACANCAGGTACGTAGCCAGGAATTCGGAGGCAGCTGATTTTTTGCTGCCCCCACCAGTAGGCTCCTCCCAGGAAGCCATGTAGTCCATATTCTTGTCTACAATTCCACTGAAATCTCCCATCATGCAAATACTTGTATAGTCCAAATCAATTATTTTCCTGTGTAATTTTCTGTAACATTCATCTTGTTTATCATTAGGTGCATAAATTGCTATTGAAAGTATTTTTTTATTATTATCCATAATTTCCACCATTAAAATTCTTCCATCATCATTTGTATAGATTTGTTCCACTGGGATATTATCTTTAATATAAAGGATCACTCTTCTTTTCTTGCAACTTGCCAATGAAGTAAATATTTCCCCAAATTTTTGTTGCACTAATAAATGTTCATGTTGCTTCTGAATATGCACTTCTTGTAGACCAATTATATCCAATTTTAGTTTTCCTAGTTTGTGGAATATTTTCCTTCTTTTATTTGCTGTATTAAGTCCATTTATCTTAATTGAGATCATTTTTTTTCAGTAGAAAGTCCAGTCGAGCTTCCAGCAAAAAGGAAAAAAAGAGGAAACTTTCACTTTGAATATCCCTTAAAATCTGCCGCTTACTCTCTCAACAGTCTTCATTTAACTTAAGTCTCTTCATTAGGGTTTTCTCTCAAATAGAAAAAAATGTAAAACTCTCACCAAAAATGACACACTTCTCTCCTGCTCTTTACTTGTGGAGCTGTCGACAGTTTCAGCAACTTTTATGTCTGCTTCATTGCCTCCAGCAACAGGAGCTTTTCCTGGATCACCAGAGACTGCGGGTGTCTCCAGGATCGACAGGATGTGCCCCTATCTATCACTGTCTCTTTGGGATGGTTTAGGTCCAAATTGGACTGTCCAACTGAAATTCAGTGGCAATTGGAGCCCCAAGATTGTCCGTCCATTTCACAGCGATGTCAAATTCTTTTGATTGTATCCCTTTGTTAATGCAACATAGGATTGCATTGGCTTTTTTGTCTGCTGCTGCACACTGCTAGCTCATATTTTAGCTGGTTGTCGAATAAGACTCCAAGATCCCTCTCATAGTCACTGCTATTAAGACTGGTTTCACCCAGTTTATATGTGTACTTTTGGTTTTTCTTACCTAAGTGTAGGACGTTACTTTTACAATACAATACAATACAATACAATACAATACAATACAATACAATACAATACAATACAATACAATACAATACAA